CAGCTTCAGATTTTACTGATGCATGGTTTTATAAATGAAAAACTTTATAAGCAACTTAAACCAATTGGGTCACATACTCCTCAGCTTTATGGTCTTCCGAAGATCCACAAAAACTGGGAACCCTTCGATCAGCCATCAAACGCACATTCTACGCTGCATCTCTTTTTCTCACTTGCCGAACATTTTCGATCCCTGTTCCTACGATTAAAGGACGAAATTCTGTGGACTCTACTTCAAACTGTATCTACAAGTTCACCTGCAGCTGCGGTGACACCTATATAGGTAGAACTAACAGAATGTTCCAATGTCGTCGAAAAGAACATATTCCAAAATGGCTAGTAAATCATATCGAAAATCCTAACGCGATTAATCTTAATAGAAATCCAGCATCATCCATTGCAAAACACTTATTAATGTCTGGTCACAAAATAAATATTAATGACTGTTTCACAATTATTTCACATAACTCTAATTCAAGGTTATTGAAGGTGATGGAAGCACTTTGGATTAATCACATACAGCCTAAACTGTGTGTACAAAAATCAATAGACTTCAATCTTCGCCTACCCTGGACTGCATGACCTATCTTAATATGATTGGTCATTAGTATGTACTTTTGTTTTTATTTAACTGAGCAATTTTCATGAACTTTATTTTATCATTGTTAACCATGTTAGTTGTAAAGCGGTTGTAAAGAAACTACGAAATGATATCATCTCGCGAAATTTGTCTTCTTAATGCCTTGTTCAAATTTATCAAAGGGACTAATTGTTTTAATATTCTATATACATTTTTATATATGTAGTCAAACTGATAAAATAAAATGGAACACAGTGAGTGAAAAGATTTTATGCCCAAAATGTAGTTCAAGGCAGATACATCAAAGTCACAAGTTCGATAGATCTACTGAAACGAAAACCATGATTACAAAATCACACATCACTTTTTCGCATCAGGCCAATATGCACACAGTGGATTGAAGATAAGTTATCATCCGTGACTACATTACCGTCTGTAGATAATTTTCACCGCTCTAGTGAAGCTAGACATATATCCCGTGCTCAGGGGAATTTATTCATTTGCATTCGTCGACACACTAGTTTGGCTAGGAGAGGGAATAACTTGATAAGAAAATGGTAAGATCTCGTGTACAAAGGTAACAATAGAAGCAGCAATTATGCTACTATAATCGGCACCGAGTAACCTCCTTAAGAAACAGGATTCAATCACTTATCGATAACTGAAGCCGTAAGAATCACTAAGGATAGCGATCTCTAGAGAGGACCTATCGTATTCATGGTTACCCCTATAGATGGATATTTCACCCAAGAAGAGTTCCAAAAGCTCATTTCACACTGAACTTAGCGCTGAAGATATTGTCTCGAATGACAATGAAAGCATCATGGTTAAATCATGAAGCTTAGAGAACACAAAAACAGTGAAATCACCCGATCGAATGCTGTCACTTCAATTTGGTGGTCAGGCTTGCATATCTCAATGACCTAAACAATTAAATAATTTTTAGGAGTTTAGGAGTTCTTTGGGGGTGAGTGGTTTCTCAGAAAAATCTAGGGGATTCTTGGGGGAAAATGAGGCATTTCCCCAAAACACCAGCATCTAGTTGTCCGTAAAACCTCGAAATTAACCTCAAGTTTTTCACTTGGGCAACTAACTACACTGACTGGAACCCATGTTCCTGCAGACTTTACCATGATAGAAGCGTAGTTTCAGTAGAAGCTAGACGAAAAGCAGGTATCATCAGTATAAGGCGTTCGCATTATGTTATAGTCTGTTGGTTAAGTCATGCAGCCAGTGAATAGTGAAGAAATAGCAGTAAGGTGTTCCCCTAAGATGACCGGAAAACCAGCTGCACTCTGCGTCCTGAATATGAGGGGGAGAGTTGGGAACTGCAGATCCCGAAATATTTATCACCCAGACTTTGCAGCAGTCAGTAGCAGGCGATTAGAAATTAACACAAACACAACTGCAAAAACCAACTCGAACTACCCGTGTGTGACCAACCCAAAGCAGTTGTCCCCTTAACTCTGCGGTCCTCACCCTTCCCTTCAGGATTTGCAAGAAAAAACATCAGCCTCCGCGATGTGGGTGGCTGATAAGTCATTGACACTCGCTGACTGGATTCAGAATAGAACTTTGTACAGATGTGCAGCAGTTAGAGTCCCCACACTTCACTTAGCACAAAAAGCAAGAGAAGGTAAAAAGAAACGCAAAACTGAAACGGTAAAAAGGGATACTAGGCGAAAAGAACAGTTATATCGAAGAACCATATAACTATATTGAATATTTAAAGGCACAAGGAAGAGATGCATCTGGGCCGTGGAGAACAATTTTGAGACATATCACCAATCTTCTCCAGACACTGGTTTTTACCGCCCCGAGGACCCCAACCAGCCAGCCAGACTACACCTCCCCACATGGCTCAAACTGTTACAGATCTCACTGGCTGACGAAGCCATGTTTTGGTTTGACTATCACCAGCTCTTTTTCAACCTGATCCTATGTAAGCTAGTACCGCCAATCGAGGAAGGCGATGGCTAGGCATGTGTAACAAGTGCCCTAACCAGCTCGGTCGATATAACTTCACTTCTTCAATTGATTCCCACTTCGTATCTAACCCTCGACGTCTAACCTCAATATTACTATTTTACCATCTAACACGGGAGATAGAACGCAGACACCTATGATCAAAGACGGCTAGCCAGCTTTTCCACGTATTCCACTCTGTGGCCAGGTCTCAAAGCCATAAAACAGGGTGGAGCGGACTCCTGAGCAGTACACATGCCCTTTGGTCGACAGCCAGACCAGATATCACATTTACGCCTCAGGTGGCGTAAACTGGCTACACGAAACTAGCTTTCTGTATCCGCCATGCTGAGATTTCGTCACCGATCAACCCGTTAGCGTTGGCTGATGCAACTCCCTAATAAGTGAAGTGGTCAATACGCTCCACAAACCACTTCACTCTCTACTTCTAAGCTAGGAGTTGATGCCGTCCTGTGGCATCATCTTACATTTGGCTAGAGCAAACCGCATGCCAAACATTTGCAAATCACAACTCAAGGTGTTCCAGAAGACTGCTGCATTTTGTCAGCGTCTTCGTCTAGAACTATATCATCCTCATGCATATCCTAAGTCAATGAGATTATTCCCTGACGGTAACAAGTCGATCCCTGAGTCGCTGAAGTCATTTGGGTTAATTCCATTAGCACATCTATGATGAATTTCAGTGGAAATGGGGATAGTGGGCATCCCTGACGGACACCACTAGTTGTCAGCACATAGTCTCCCATGAGAACATAAAGCCTTCCAGATTATCACCCCACCACCATCTTGCTTTCGCATACTGTTAATACAATTAAACGAATAGGCCCCTCAACTTCCCTTAACTTTACCACCACAGCCAGAAAAACACATTACTGATAGTTCCACAAACCAACGCTATCAACCTGAGGACAATAGGCCTTACTGGACTGAAATTTGGTGTCTCGAGACAGATGTATGCCATGTTTCTGGGATATACTTATAAGTACGAATATAGTCAACAAGTTAAATCTGAAAACATTGACTTTGCCAGTGTAAGGAGTTGCTGATGTAAGGATAGCAGAGTAGTAGTGCAGAAAAACCCCTGCTTGATTGGATTCCAATGAATAGTCGTAGGTACGCGGTCCAATTGAACCAATCCGTTAGGGAAGGAAAGATTTTATTACCCATCCATGTATTTTTATAACCTGCGCTAGCTGCCGAATTGATTGTAATTTGAATGAAATACGGGATGAATTCGGTCGGAAACTCTCTGGCTAGCTGCAAAAGCAGAACGCTAATAGGTAGTTGTCGCAGTAAGAGAAGTATATCATCGGTAATGATGGCGTCCGACACCGACATCGAAGACCGTCTCTTCCACAGTTCTGCTGAGATAATCATCTGTTCCCAGTCCACACTAAATTCAAACATAAGGACAGTCATTACCTAACCTGGTGACGCTCACCACCAAATCACCGGTGTAGTCAAATAGATAACGTAATAATAAGCTACTGATGGAGAGGTCTAGTAGAGAGTTGCGGCTCCTTCAGGAGAACCTGCATAGACTCCAACCAGACTCATATATAACATAGAAAACAGACAACTGTGAAACCACTACAGGCTCAACACGAAGTCTCTACTTAAGGAACAAATAGCAACATGTGTATCTGAAAATTAAAGCAAGATCTATCCTGAGAAAGCATAGCATAATATGCAATCAGCTTCAGAAGTATTGGTCAAGGAGGTTGATAACGCGAAATAAAAGTCTATAAAGTGCTAATAAATTCCTTATGCTTCACCTGCAATTCTGGACACAGGAAGACCGAATTCGGCAACCTCCGAACATGACGAGGAGCGAAAGCTTCCCAAAAGCAAGCTGTCCAGAAGTTCCTGCAAGGCCATAAACAGTGGTGGGCCCAAAAAGATATGTATGAACAAGAAAAGAATATGTGAACAGTCTACTAATCTCTTAAAATCAGGTTTCGAAGACGAATCTAACTCGGACTAGTTTTCAGCTGCAAACTATGCGTGCGATTACGATTTCTAAATAAAATACTTAGTGCAAATTAGAATCACAAGCTTTTACCTACTAAACCTTGCAGAAAAAATCCACCGAGGTATCTTTACTTGTTAATATTCTCTAGGCGGCAATGTAAAATAATCCGGCAGTTTCAAAAGCAAACGATACTATATCACATTTCAAAATACACTGGATGAAATGAAAAATAACATGAAATGAATGTATGGAAATTATATGTCAGGTACAAATTCTGCCTGAGTTACATCCAGGGAAAATGTAAATAATGGGAAAACATTCATCAGCTTGGTCTCATGCAACTGAAGATTTTGAACGCAATCAAGATGTCAGCCAAAACATAAATACGCGAAAATTGGTGAAACCGAATAGCCAGTACTCATAAATTTAGGTACACGAAAAATTAAAGAGTAGAAACAGCTTCCTAGTTGTATAAATCTTCTGCATCATTTTGAGCGCCAAAGTTTGATCCTCCACCTTGAGCTCCAGCGCCAGACGGTGCGGCACTGGAACCGTCTGATCCCGGAAATCTGAAACAATAAACAATAAACCTCGAATATATGTGTGTTGTTATGAAAAGAAAGTTTAAACGCTTTTTAGGCGGAAAAATAGTAAACGGAATAAGTACAACTACATAAAAATCGAAACACAACCACCAAGGAAACCGAAGGGACAGAACACTAGAAGATGGATAGTTCTGACTTCCATTATTGATGAGGAGTTTTCTCAACCTTCGATTCTTACAAATATAAAATTCAGGCCACAGTACCGAAAACAGCCGGATGCAGAGCTTATTGCGCCTTAGAATACTCAACCCAAAACAAGCACTACGTACTCTTTTTCCTCAATATTTTACAACTTCAAAGTTTAGAATATTAAATGATGATAAGCCGATACACACTGCTGCCCAGTCTAAGTTAAACCTTATGTACTTAAGCTTAATCCAAAATTATTCGAATTTGGATCTAAATATCTAATAACACTTGATGGAACTGAATAAGTTGACACTATAATCACGCAGTCTGGAAGCGATTCATTTGACTAACAGCTGGTGAAAGGTCTATGTACGTACTTGTGCTTTACTATCTTTAAACCACAGTACGTTTCAAAAAGCAGGTAACAACTTATCCATCAATTTGAAATGATAGGGAGAAATAATGTGGCTTTGGGAAAGATTCTGTGCGATGCTGTGGAACTGAACGTGTTGAAAAAGACCAGAATTGCTTCAACCTACATGGACCTTAAGAAATGCCTTTTTTATTTGTTACTGAGGTAAGTCCAAAAGTATATGATATGCAATCTTATCAACCAGTATATATGTATATATGCTAAATGGGAAAAATGGTGCTGAAAACCGCATAAGTGTAGAAACAAAGTACATATGCTGACCTGAAGTTGTTGCCTATTCCTCGGGACTGTTGTAATGTCTGGGCGAACATCTCATACTTTCGCACATCGTTTTCAGTGACTGAACGTCTGGCGAAACGCATTGCTTCTTCAAAATGGCGACGTGTTATTTCTGGGACTGGATCGCTGTCATCCTCCTAAATATGGTAATAAAAAGTGGAGCTGAATAAAACTGAACAGATTTTAAACAGATGCTGAACTTTGCTTGGTTAACGGGATAGGTTTATAATATAAATCAACCATGTTTACAAAAACTCGAACTTGCTGTTTGAAGATTCGTAAGCAGCTCTCAGTTTTCAGAGGACGTTCAATCTTTTCGTTAATCGATATCTAGTTTTTTTTGACAATGCTCATATTACTAACACATCTGGTAGTTGAATGCCAACATTAATAAAAACTACAGGCTTGCTAATATATTAAGTACGGTGGTAAATTTCTTGTATACTTCTTTGCTTTCATAGGTACAGAATAATAAATAAATAAAAGTAGCGAGTAGACACATCCCGAAAGTTTAATGAGGGCAACTGCAGACGAATAGGACGAAGCGTGTTAGGGACGTTCACCTGATCGTATTGTCCTTCCAAGCTTTTAAATAACCGATTAATTGATCAATTGACGTGTTGCTTGCGATATAAACTGGTTAATTTATCCTACTTTGTCATATAGTTAGAAAACAACTAAACGGAGTTGTGCCGGCCACCTCAACTAATTTTAAGAAGTTATATTAATCATTGATTGATCTATGAACGTAGAAACTTTGGTGCACGAGTGTTGAGTGTTTACTGACACCAACTGGTGCACTAAACAACAATCGTCGAAACAGGAGCCCTTTATAAAAATAAAAATCTTACTTGGAAAACAGTACTAATAATACAAAATGGAATGCTCAGCAGTTGTCACAACAACTTGCATCTGATTTACACAAAATATAAATAAAATTAACCACAAGAATTTGTCCACATTTACGGTATTAAGTCAAAATATCCCAATTACAAAATGAAAAGAATAAATATAATAATAATAATAATAACAACAGTGGATTCGTTTCAAACAGTATTGTCAATTCAGTTTGGAAATCTCAGCATGTTACAGATTATTGAATCTAATGTTCCGTTGATATAGCATGGTGAGGGGAAAGACAAAAAATCACAGTTAATACACAGCCTAAATGATGTTTACACTTATGAGAAAATAAACAAAAAAATTGACAGGATCATAAATATAAGAACAATAGCAATAAGGCTTGGTGGGATAAGGATGGAGAAAATGGTGTTTACTGGTGCAAAGAAGGTTAGTCAGTTCGTCCCTGACACTGTTTTCATCACATAAAATACGTGTCAAATATGGTATAGTGGAATTTCTATACTTATACGTACGTGCTTAAAGTCTTCTGAAAAGACTTTTTGTTTTCCCTGAGGAGATACAAGGTGAAAGTTGCTGGCAAAGTGGATGCTCACAGTCTGACAAAATTCCTTTGACAAATTTGTTGCATGAAATCAATTGTCTATCAATGACTGTGTCAACGATATGGCCCAATTGGATACAACTCGCCCTATTGACAGTCTTCAGAGTTTTACGAAGCATGACAGTCTTTTTAAGCAATCCAGAAAAGAATAAGGACGAACAGTAAAGAAGAATAGGTAAGATGCACGAGTTGACAAACTGTAAGAGGAGGGCTTGAGTTATGCCTGAGTGCCTTAACTTCTTAATGTAAAAGTCAAACGAAATATTCTTTTAGAGACCACCAAGACATGGGAAGACCAGGATAGGTCAGAAGAAAGTATTAACCCAAGATACTCACCGTCAGACTTGATTTCTATATCATTATCATCAATTTTGCAACGCTCAGAGAAATTAACAGCTTCATTTAACTTTCTTTTGCATCGGAAACTGAAATTAACAGTCTGACACATTTGGAGGGATTTAGTTTAAGACCATTAGACGAACACCATTTACTGACTCGTAACAGAAAGCTGTTCGTCCTAATACAGTCTAGCAAGTTAAGGTTTATTACTCAGTTCAGGCGATAATGCATTTAAATATATCCTCCCAATCGTACCCTAAGTGGAAGTAAACTGTCAAAGCATGCTCTACGGGTTTGCTACTAGGTATGCATTACGGCACATATATAATATTGGGAGGAAAACAATGACAGAAATGTAGTCACAGCTTTTCTCCTCTTTATACTTGTAAAAGAGTTCATCTAGATGGATATATTTCAACTTCAATTTGTAAAATAGTAACTTACCATAGCATTTGGTCTGGCTTTTCTTTCGCGTTCAGCGTTTATTTCGGCCTCAATACATTCCCGGATAGCTTGCTTACATGCACGCTGGCAGATTTCAGTAAGATCAGCACCCGAGAAACCCTGGGTGACTTTTGCCAAGTAATTGAGGTCAACATCCTATTGATCAATAAAAAGTGGTAAAATTAAGCACTCCAGAAACGCAACGGCGCGTCAACAAATCGTATGAGTTTTCACTCCAAAATATCCCAAATACAAAAAATGAACTCAAAATTAATCACTACCAAACAGGGTGAATTCACGAATGACATATGGTGACTGCTATCTTAGCTCTGTAACCACGCGAAACTTATCCTTATATGCTCTTAACAAAAATAAAACGATGTGGACACCGAAAGAGTACCAACCGTCTACATTCTTCTGTTCACCAACTCACATCTTTATTTTCTTGCCTTCGTCTTATTTTGCTGCTAATATATATATATATTTTTAAAGGTCTTGAGCCACATGTAGTTGTAATACACTACATGGACATAAGATTCAAACAGAAAGTTCCATTATCAAAAATGTAGTAAGACAGCAGCACCTAATCGTCTGACTCCAAAGGTGACCAACGATGGTGATGAGTGACTTATAGGATCTTGAAATAATTTCATCGGACCGCTGTAGACTACTGACAGTATCAGTTTATGAAGACCAAACCTACATTTGATGAGCAGAGATCAGCTTGACTAGATCTGACTGGACTAAATGGGACTTGGGGAAAATGAACGTTTGAAAACTAGGCAAACTTATGCTCCGGAGTCCACTGACCACATCTTCATGCCTTACTTGTTCTGGGAAAGTACACATATTAACACTGGGTTCATTCAGTGAGGTAGAACAAGTTGTAACACGACTATCAGTCACCACAATGGTTCCACCTACACATTTATGTTCCGTTAGCTACAGCGCTAACTCTTTATTAGCCGCAACAATGTAATTGCAGTGGCGTATGCCTCGTCTAGGTTACCTTGGTCTAGAACCGAATTATCATCTATTTGCTGCCCCTCGATAGTACTTTTTAAAATCCTAATGTCGTCTTAATTGATTTAAGAAAAGAACTTGGGCACTGGTAGGGTAAGATTTCATCGCAGAGCAAATTGTGCTGGAAACGTGATCAGTAAGTAGTACTGTGCGACAGTGGGTTTTTATCAAATAAATTTACTCTATGACTGAACCATCTTAATTAGGATGCACCAATGACAACCTTTTGCATCTCGAAGTAAGGCTCCTTTTCACAAAAGGATATGATACAACACATTTTCGAACTAAATCAGATAAGTGACCAACCTTAGCTATCGGTGATTTCCGCAAATTCGCCTTTAGAATATTAACCCTTGAGGGTTCGTCCGGTAGTGGGATATAGATTAGTTGATCAAGTCTTCCAGGACGTAAAATAGCTCCGTCTATTATGTCTGGACGATTAGTGGCGCCGATAATGAAAACATTCTTTTTAGCAGACATGCCATCCATTTCTGTCAGCAGTTGATTGATAACTCGGTCAGCAGCCCCTCCAGCGTCACCGACACTACCTCCACGAGCCTAAGGATAAAATAAATCAAGAAAGAATAGTGTTGAAATGAAAATAACGTCTTCACATCTAGCGGTGAAATTGCATGGAACGCACTGATACCGATGAACAAGCAAGTGTCACAAAGGCTCCCGTTCACTGACGTGAAAAGCCATGAATAGTTCATGCTTTAGGGGAACTTGTGTACCTTCCGAACTCCACCTGTTTATTTGACGACAAGTTCTGAGCAAGGAAATACTTTTTCGGCCAACTAAGAAAACATCTCAACTCGATGATCATAACAGTGATACCCGTTCAGGATAAATAGAAACATGTAATAGCAGGAGCTTCCGAAAAACTATCATAAGACCTGAAAACTGACGAAGGATTACATCTTATCGACAAGTGAAGCCGTAGAAATCATTAAGGATATTAATCTCTAGAGAGGACTTGTCGCATTCAACGTTACCCGTATAGACGGATATTTGACCCAAGAAGATTCCAGAAGCATCTGCGCCATGGAGAACAATTTTGAGACATATCACCAATCTTCTCCAGACACTGGTTTTTACCGCCCCGAGGACCCCAACCAGCCAGCCAGACTACACCTCCCCACATGGCTCAAACTGTTACAGATCTCACTGGCTGACGAAGCCATGTTTTGGTTTGACTATCACCAGCTCTTTTTCAACCTGATCCTATGTCAGCTAGTACCGCCAATCGAGGAAGGCGATGGCTAGGCATGTGTAACAAGTGCCCTAACCAGCTCGGTCGATATAACTTCACTTCTTCAATTGATTCCCACTTCGTATCTAACCCTCGACGTCTAACCTCAATATTACTATTTTACCATCTAACACGGGAGATAGAACGCAGACACCTATGATCAAAGACGGCTAGCCAGCTTTTCCACGTATTCCACTCTGTGGCCAGGTCTCAAAGCCATAAAACAGGGTGGAGCGGACTCCTGAGCAGTACACATGCCCTTTGGTCGACAGCCAGACCAGATATCACATTTACGCCTCAGGTGGCGTAAACTGGCTACACGAAACTAGCTTTCTGTATCCGCCATGCTGAGATTTCGTCACCGATCAACCCGTTAGCGTTGGCTGATGCAACTCCCCTAATAAGTGAAGTGGTCAATACGCTCCACAAACCACTTCACTCTCTACTTCTAAGCTAGGAGTTGATGCCGTCCTGTGGCATCATCTTACATTTGGCTGGAGCAAACCGCATGCCAAACATTTGCAAATCACAACTCAAGGTGTTCAGAAGACTGCTACATTTTGTCAGCGTCTTCACGTAGAAGGACTATACTATTTACATATTCAGATATCCTGGTAACAAGTTATGAGCACAGGAAACGGCAGTAATTACCTTGGCAATAGAGTCCAGTTCGTCGAAGAAAAGTACACAGGGTGCAGCTTGTCGTGCCTTGTCAAAAATATCCCGAACGTTTGCTTCAGACTCACCAAACCACATCGTCAACAACTCGGGTCCTTTAATGCTGATGAAATTTGCTTGACACTCATTCGCAATTGCTTTCGCCAACAGCGTTTTGCCGCAACCTGGAGGACCATAAAACAGGACACCTTTACTTGGAGTCATACCAAACTTTAGGAACTTGTCTGGATGCTCCACTGGATATTGTACTAATTCTTGAAGCTCCCGTTTTACATTCTCCAGTCCACCAATATCATTCCACGTTACGTTAGGCACTTCAACAGTAGTCTCTCTGAGAGCAGAGGGGTTGCTCTTTCCTAATGCCCAGCGGAAGTCATCCATGGTAACAGCAAGAGAGTTCAGTACCTCAGCATCAATTGTATCGTCTTCTAGATCAATAAGATCCATCTTGTTTCGAATCTGTTGCAAAGCAGCTTCTGAACACAGTGACGCTAAGTCAGCTCCAACGTGACCATGTGCTTCATTGGCTATCTGCTCAAGATCGACGTCATTAGCAAGTCGTACATTCTTCGTATGTATCCTCAAAATTTCTAGCCGCCCGATGCTATCAGGAATGCCTATCTCGATTTCACGGTCGAAACGACCAAAGCGTCTAAGAGCTGGGTCGACACTATTTGGTCGGTTTGTGGCAGCCATAACAATCACATGACTACGCTGTTTAAGGCCATCCATCAAAGTTAATAGTTGAGAAACAATTCGACGTTCAACTTCTCCGTGAGTTTTTTCTCTCTTTGGAGCAATAGCATCAAGCTCATCGATGAAAATTATAGCTGGTGCATTTTTCTCTGCTTCTTCAAACGCTTTGCGCAAGTTAGATTCTGACTCTCCAGCCAATTTTGACATGATTTCGGGCCCATTGATTAAGAAGAAAAAGCTCCCACTCTCGTTAGCTACTGCTCGTGCAACTAAAGTCTTCCCAGTGCCAGGAGGTCCATAGAGTAGTATACCACGTGGAGGTTTAACACCTATAGCTTTGAACAATTGTGGGTGACGAAGAGGTAACTCCACCATCTCCTTGATTTGTGCTAGTTGTTTGCGGCAACCTCCAATGTCATCGTAGCCTATTTCGTTCAATCTTTCTTCTTCATCCTATAAATATATATACATATAAACATTTAAACTGCGCATACCTCTCGTTTTACAGGGTCACCTTCTGTATGTATAATAGTATCGGGTGCAACAATACAATAAGGTGAAGGATCTGTTTCAATTACTTTGAATTCAACGGCGCGCATCCCACCACGTACAATGAAAACGTCATCTTTACGAATAGGTCGGTAGGCAGCCAAAAAGTACGGCTTTATGAAGACTTCATATAGATTCCTAAAAATCCGATAAAAGTGATTCACACCTTACCCTGTAAGACCAATTATTGTGTCGTCTATGGGCAAAACGTGAATTCGCCTCCCATAGACTATATCAGGGCAACCAACAACTGTCACAATATCTCCGATCCTCACTCGCAAATTATTACGCACGCATCGGTTGAAACGAATCCTATCATCTGGACAAGTCTCGTCTACTAGAGCCACGCAGACTGTATCTCTCCGTTTCTTTCCTTTTATAGTCACCGTATCACCACGAAATAGCTGCAACTCATCCATTTTCGCCTGATAAATGCAACATGCAGTATAACAGTACTTACTTGAGACATCGAGACCACTGAGTTATCATCCTTTAAGGTATCATCAACCATCAGGCGATTGGGCTTGCGTTTCTTATCGACCAATTTATCGCTAGCCTGGTCCCTATCATAAAGTAATCTCGTGAGTCGAATTCATCAATAAAAATGAAGATGGAAACAAAAATACATCGACCTGACGTACTTCTTAGGTGTAGACATTTTAAGTAAAGCCACCAGAAACGAAAGTAACCACCGTCAACAATCAGCCCGAAATGCACACTGCAGCTCATTAAAAGAAAACACCTGTTCATTATTAAATATCAAAAGACCATTGAAATAATTAAGTCTTGTATCTTTCTGATTACTCTGAGTGATAAGCCTTTGAAAAAGAATTTCCTACACTATTTTTAACTGATTTATTGGTCAACTTCCCGGAAAAGTCAAAGAAAACCTGACACTGGTAGTTTATTCCGAAAGTTGTTTATACACAGGATATATGTCGGCGGTTTGACCACGCGAATATGCGTTATTATGAGTGCGATTAAATGATATTACGTGAGGGAGATATTCTGAGATATTACCACCAACCACAGCAAACCCGATCAACTAATGGATAAGAGTGATGCATAATAAGAAATAGAACTTTTTGCTGGTATGCTTGTCTCCCCTTTGATGGAATACATCTTGAAATTACATGTGCTGTTGCCTCAAAGAATCCCAACTAACTAATCGATAAGGATAGTTTTCCCACCGTTAAAACGCCATGCTGTTGGAGTCCAATCAAGTAATATTCCAGCTAGTAACACTCATTAAAGTCTACAAACTCCTAGACTAACTAATGTCACTTATTTTTATGAATTACGAATAAAAACTCCATCAGAAGATAAACTTCAACGGGTCTGCCAACAACAGTCTAAGTTATCATCGTTTATCAGATTAATTTACACTTGGGCCGTTCATAACCTCGCCAGACACTAGCTTGCTAGACTACTAGCTTACTAGTTTTCTAGCCGGTCTCAAGCCCGGGTAAAGAGGGAGGATTCGGGCGTGGTGCTAGCAACTCCACCCCCGTAAAACAACCAAATCGCTACAGAAACTTCAACGAATGGCCTTAATTTTCGCTGGAATCGGGGAGTGAAATGACGCAGGCTGGTGAAAGCTAGCCTTCGGGAAGCCAGTCAGCCGATGTGCCTTCTTTCGATGAAAGCAAAAGTAAGGATGGGTACCTGGAATGTTCGTACAATGTACGAAACTGGAAAGGCTGCCCAGATAGCCGCTGAAATGAGAAGGTACAGAATAGAAGTGTTGGGAATCTGCGAAAGCAGATGGAACGGAACTGGAAGGTGCCAACTACCTACTGGAGAGACAGTAATCTTTTCCGGCCACCCAGAGGACAACCATGAGCACACCGAGGGAGTGGCCATCATGATGTCACCAACAGCAACCAAAGCTCTCATGCAGTGGGAACCAATCTCCTCCAGGATAATGACAGCCAGGTTCAACTCAAAAGGAAGGAAAGTTACAGTCATTCAATGCTATGCGCCTACAAACGTCTCAGAACAAGAGAAGAAGGAGGCGTTCTACAGACAACTACAAGCAATAATGGACAACGTCCCAAATGGCGATATCAAAATCCTGATGGGCGACATGAATGCGAAGCTGGGAGGAGACAACACAGGAAGAGAACTCACCATGGGTCGTGAGGCCCTCGGCGAAATGAACGACAATGGTGAACTCTTCTCAGACTTCTGCGCCTTCAATGATTTGGTGATTGGTGGTAGTGTGTTCAAACACAAGGATATACACAAGACGACATGGATTTCACCAGATGGAAACACCAAGAACCAAATAGACTTCATCTCAATTTCAAGAAAGTGGAGACGGAGCCTACTGGACACAAGGTCAAGGAGAGGAGCAGATGTGGGTTCAGACCACTATCTAGTAGAAGGGACTTTCAAGGTGAAACTAAAAGCCTCGAGGATAGCTGGGGATAGGCCACAATGCAAGTTCAACACTCAAACTGAAGGACACAACCACAAAAGACACTTTCACTGCAACTGTCAGAGCAAAGCAGGAAACACTACGCGACATCACTGAAGAATCATGCGTGGAAGAACATTGGAAGTCTCTGAAGGCGATTCTCAACGAAACGTGTTCAACGGTTCTAGGAAGAAAGAAGAGACAAGACAAGGAATGGCTCTCAACGGACACTTGGAAATTAATAGAAGAGAGGAGAATGGTGAAAGAGAAAATGATTCAATGCAAGGACGGACAGGAGAAGGAGACGCTGAGCTCAACTTACACAGCACTGGACAAAGAAGTGAAGAAGAGTGCTAGGAAGGACAAAAGACGATTCTACGACAACCTGGCCACTGAAGCTGAGAAGGCAGCAGGCAAAAGGGACCTGAGGACACTATATCAGATAACCAAATCTCTATCCGGGAAGAGATCAACACAAGCGAAACCTATAAAAGACAGCCAAGGGAACCCAATTACCAAGGAAGAAAAACAGATTAAACAATGGGCGGATCACTTCAAAGGACTCTTGAACCGACCATCACCTGCAACCCGTCCAGAAATACCAACAACAGCGCGCACACAACTGCAAGTTGACACCAATCCTCCAACGAGAGCTGAAGTCTTGAACGCAATCAAGCTTCTGAAAGCTGGAAAAGCAGCCGGACCAGATGGAATACCCCCTGAAGCACTGAAAGCGGACCCAGAGACTACAGCAGACATGCTGACTCCATTATTGCAAAAGGTCTGGAAGGAGGGAAAGGTGCCTACTGACTGGAGGAAAGGTTACCTCGTGAAACTACCAAAGAAGGGCGACTTACGCCTCACTCTGCAAGAACTGGCGAGGAATCATGCTCCTATCGACGCCAAGTAAAATCCTGAGTCGCATCATCCTGGAGAGATTAAAGGACGCACTGGAGACAGAACTCCGACCAGAACAAGCTGGATTCAGGAAAGGCAAATCATGTACTGACCAAATTGCAACTCTACGCATCATCATCACAGAACAAAGCATGGAATGGCAATCAAACCTCTACCTCAACTTTATAGACTTTGAGAAGGCCTTCGACAGCGTTGACCGTGAAGTAATTTGGAAATTACTCGAGTACTATGGCGTACCCCAAATATTCATCAACCTTATTCAACAGCTGTACGACAACGGCACGTGTCAAGTGATCCACAACGGAAAACTCAGCGAGGCGTTTGGAGTAAACACAGGAGTCAGACAAGGGTGCTTAATATCACCAATGATATTCCTAATTGTGGTGGACTGGATTATGCGTCAGACAGTGGGAAACGAGAAGACAGGAATATCCTGGACCGACGTGAAGAACCTAGAAGACCTGGATTTTGCGCGTAGATGATTTATGTTTGATGTCACACACAATCGAAGACTTACAAGCGAAAACCGACAAACTGGTCGAAGAAGCAGCCGGCAAAGACAGGACTCCAGGTAAACATAGACAAGACGGAGGTTATGAAAATAACCAACCAACAACAGCAACAACATCCAACGTCAATCACCATCAACGGGAGGGATTTGAAAGAGGTTACTTCATTCACTCACTATCTAGGGAGCATTGTCTCAACTACAGGAGGAGCGGACGAGGATGTCAAATCGAGAATCGGGAAGGCGAGAAACACATTCATCAACCTGAAATCAATCTGGAAATCTTCGTCACTCAGCATCAACAACAAAATTCGGATTTTCAATACAAACGTAAAGTCAGTTCTTCTATACGGATCAGAAACTTGGCGGGTCACAAAGAATATTTCCAAAAGGCTGCAGACCTTTATTAACAACTGTCTTCGCTCTATACTGAAGATCAGATGGCCGGAAAGAATCACCAACAAGGAATTATGGGAACAAACAAAGCAAGAACCAATCGCCCAACAAATATGCAGGAGAAAGTGGAGATGGATCGGACACTCGCTGAGGAGACCGCTGGGTGACATCGCGCGTCAAGCCCTCGAGTGGAACCCGAAAGGGAAGCGGCGTGTGGGACGTCAGTGCAAGGGTGACATGGAGGAGATCGTGTGAAGAGGAGTTGAAAGAATATGGACTAACATGGATGCAGGCGAAAAGTACAGCAGAAGACAGAAGCAAATGGAGACGTGCAGTTGAAGCCCTATGTTCCACTAGGAACCCAAGGGAGCAATAATAATAAATAATAAATATGGGCCGTTCATGATTCTTTCTTCTTCCTTGAGTTCCGAGTGAAACATACTGCTTCACTAGTACATTCCATGCACACTTGGTTCTCCCCTAACATTTGAAGATATCTTCACATCTGGTAACATAACTTCATTTTCCCCTCCACATGGTATATTCCATTTCACCATTCTCTGCAAAATACATTTGCTTTCACCAGATATCCACTCAAACGACCACCTTTCATTTTACCTAATTCAGTATTTTCACCAGCAAATACCAAATCCGTCTATATTTCCTGCAGAAAACCTATAGGTCAATGGGTGCTTTGCCGGCTTGCTTTCTAGTGGAGTACCTTGTTGATTAATGTTTCCAGCTGGCAATCTGTCCTGACTTCTCATCTTCAGTATTAGCCTGACGTAGGCATCTTCCGGTTGACGAAATTCCCAGTTAGCTAGGAATGTTCTGGCTGGTACATCAAATCTCTGAGCAATATAGGATAGGCACTAATACTCTTCCTTTGTTCTATGTACCAAGTGCTATTTAAGACCAGAGTAATCAAAACCTATTTGTTGAGTTTCGTAAATTCAACCTGAAGCTGAAACAGGGTCGTCAAGGTTAGTGTCAGGGAAACCTTGGATTTCAACTTTTATTAGTTATTAGTGTTCGTTGTTGCTAACAGCCAAACAGATTTATCATAACCGTCTTCTGAAGTCCTGTCTTCACTGCCTCTCCAGAAAACACGCTGTCTCACCTATGTCTGAGTTTCTGCGACTCATCTACTGTATTTGAATCGGTTCGCGTCTGCAAATATATGGACAAATTCAGGACATTTGACATCATTTTTCCATTTCACATCTGAATCTCAATAGTCTAATGTATGATCCAATCCACCCCAGCCAAGAAGCACATCTGTGAGAAAAAACCTTCATGTTTAACCCCTGTGCTCACAACCTTGGTGGGTTTTCCTTTTTGAATTGCATGGTACGCAAAGTAATTATCATATGGTTATTCAGTGAGGTACGCAAATTTCCATAGCAGTTTCCAGATT